AAGACAGCCAACCAACCAACCCACTATTTGCACAACCAATTATCATTCTCGTTCATACATAATATGTATCATTTCGCTAAGCACACTACCCCAAGCATGCCAAACTTTGTCTTCTTTCTTCAGAACTCAGAACCAGTCGCATATTTTTGCCCTGCTACTTCAAGACAAAAAACTTTTTTCACGAATACGCGTCGTGATCGAATGAATCAGTTAGCTCCAGTGTCACTGCCTTGCTTCTATTAGTTATTGTTTTTGTTAACTTTTTTGTTCATCTAAAATCCATTTCTCAAGCTTATCCATTAACTGAGATGAGTATTTTTCCTTGATTTCGTTCAAATTCGTGACAAATATTAAACTATGTAACGGCTACTTTCTAGGAGAATACTTTACGATATCATCGTCATCAAAAAAAGTTTAGTTCTATTCCTTACTTCACTATATTATGCGATCTGTGAAGACGACATTGTTTTCTACGAGGTTAGTGATAAGGTTCAGCAGTCATAATTCTTTTCATTATGTCATTTGCAAAACAAAGCTCAACTGATGTTCATAGTTCATTTTTTGAAATTAGTTTATGAAGTATTTATGTTGTTGTTACAATTTTATCTTGATAACAGCAACTTCATGCTAACATTCAATGTTCATGAATATGACAGTGCAGTATCCGCCCGGGTTGATAAGTCGGCTCATTGAAGCACTCTTTCTTTATCATTCACAAGAAAATACACCTAGTTGTAATGATTGAACAAGAAGAATCGGTTTGCTGTACTGTACTCGGACTGGAATGGTGCAATATAGATATTTGCTAGATATGACTATAATGTGCTAAATCTTCTTGTATGGTTTTCATGAAATGCTGCTTTTGTATTGGTGAGTTGTGATAGTTATTTGATGATTTTCATCGTCATATATCTTCTTGATTTTGTTCGTTCGTTAGTTCGTTTATTCTCTCTGAAAGTTGAGATGGACTTGATTTGTTTCTTAAAAAGGAGATAGCAGCAGATGCACCGGGTGGCAGACGTGTCTACCTATCTACCTACCAGCCAGCCGGCCCTATGGTCATCAGCTCATTTTTCTTCTCCTTCAATACTGTTGTTTCATATCCGATCCATCCACTGCTGCTCTTACTGCTATCCTATTCTGTCTCTACTGATCGTACATCTATCCATCCATCTGTCTCATATCAAATTCGTTTTATCATCGGTGATTATCTGCAGCGTACAATTTGCTGTTGTCTTGTTCAAATTCTGCACTGCCTGTATAATGACCTGTTCAATTACAACCTTTTAATATACTATCCTTTTTTGAATTTTAATAATTATCGCATCATCTAAGCTTATTTCTTCATAAATCTCTTATAACCATGACACATAT